TTGCAATGCACATAACAATGTTTATACTTACACACATCCAGTTACCTTTTCATTATCGGCAGATGATTCTTTCAAAGGTGCTTTGTGGTCTCAGAGTGCAATGTTGACTCCATTGAAGTGAAACACAGTTATTGATAGAAATGGGATGTTATGCTCTGACCTTTGAAAGGAGCACAAATTGTATGGATTCAGAAGGACTGACTTTCTGAAAACTCTGGGAAACACATCTCACGGAATTTCTGGAAAATATCTATGAGATGAAAACTCTTCTGCCTGCAAAGACCATATTTCAAGGGCTGGAAACACATGATTTTCTCATAAAATTCTCTTTGAGGAAGATGTATCTCACTGGAAAATATGCATGAAGTATTTCTGGTTTGGTGTATCATTAATTATATATTTCATTGAGATGCCTCTTATAGGACTTTTCTGAGCTCCTCCAGCTGTGTTAGCATTTCTGTGGCATGGTTAGGACTGTTCCCAGGCAAATGCTACTGCCAGAGTATCATGCAAGATAAAGGTCATACATAAAACTCTACCTCAATATAGAAGAGTTGCCAATCTGCTTGAATTTCCAAACAGGCACATAAAAACCTTATAAAAGCAAACAGTACAGGTCAAACTCTGTACTTGGATTATTTCAAGTCAGACTGTGCCAGTGTCAGACTTCATGCACATAAAAGTAGACAGCCCAGCTCAGATTTGGATTTCGGTGTGAGTGCATACAAGAAAAGCCCTATGGGAATCAAGAGGAGATTCATATTCCTGCAGAGTTTATCTGTTTAGTTTTTGAGATCTGGAAGAGGTGTCTGAAATACACACTATAATTTTGTTGTATCAGATTTGTATGTGATAAATAATAAATTTACTCTTTTTTTTCTTTCTTTCTTTTTTTTTTAATGCTAGTACTTGTCCTTCAATCTGTGCTCATTTGAGTAGACTGCTACAAGGAAAGCTTGTTCATCTTTTTGTTCCTTTTGCTAAATCTACAGTCTGGCTTATTTTCATGTTTATTGTATCTCACAGACTAAATATTAAGTTTTGCAAATGCTAATGCAAGTTCTAAACCACAACAGAAGGATGATGGGAAAGGTCCTAAAGTCCAAACTGCAGACTGCTGAGTTACACACCTTCTGAACTGGAAACATGCAGTAAAAGTCTGCCTAATATTTGTCTAGAGGTGCTACACAAATAAAAGTGTTAATGTAGCTAAAAACCTCATTTTGTATAAAACCAGCAAAACCAACCCAATATGCCTCTTATTTTCCTTTGGCAGATCTTCCAGTAAGATCTGGCTGTCAGTAGGGGTTTCCATTCATTCCTACAGTGTTTTCCATAGCATGGCATGTCAGTGGAGGCATATGACAATTTGGCTTTTTGGCTGTGGCATGCCACCATGGCATCCCTCAATCAAAAGCACTGAGTGACATGCTTTTCTTGCACTGCCTGGCATGCAATGTGCAATATGTCAAAAAGCACTGCTGCCCCTTCCATACTGTGCATTATCAGATTCCTTTTTGTTGTACTGTTTTCTTCCACAAGCTATTAAATATAGTAGAATATATTTTATATTTAGATTGGCCACAGGCACTGAGCAAATGCTTTTGCTCATTTAATAGTGTACACAATGTGGGCACATTCTGTGCTCCAGCAAAGCCCTTTGCATGAAATCACCCATGGGAAATATCCCTGGACATGGGGAAACTTGGAAAACCTTAGCTTCGAGTAGAGGCATTCTTGAATTTCATGCAGCTGGCATTTTTACCTCTGTGTGTTCCCTCACAGTCAGCCATTCCTAGCTCTCATGCTGGCTCCTGGAGACAGCTGGAAATTGGCATGCTGAGGTGAAGCAGTATTTTGGTTGTTCTAGTTATTTCAAGTTATTGGCCAAGTCACTCATGGCTGGCAGAGCTCAAAACTGCTGCCAGTCACTTTTCCATGCATCATTCTCCTGTCCATGCTTTGTGTGCTCTGGGTAAAGCCATGGCTCTGAGCCATTTTCCAGACTCTGCTTATTCCTGCTTTCCATTCTCGAAAAAGAAAGTCTCTATGACTTAAGGTAAGGTATTTTTGTAAGTGAGATAAGCATGATTATGTTTTTTGTTTAGCAGAAGCAGATGCAGCATCTGAACTGCACATGCAACAGATGGTGTTCCACAGGTGTAGCGTGTTATTTGTACTGAAGCCTCTGTTTCAAATTTTCATTTAGGTAACAAATGTACAAACTCTTCTTTTGGATGAAGAGCACCTTATGTGTTAGGTATCCAACAGTACCACCCTGTTTTACCTATTTTGATAATCTTTTGAATAAGCTGTTATCATCAGGCACCCAACTGTCATTCTGTGACTGGGTGCCAGATTTGGGCAAGCCCATTTCTGCAATTACTGAAATCCTGAACTTCTTCATGAATGGTATAGATTGAACTTGTTATGCTCTTGCCTTTTCTATTTCAGATGGCTGATGGCTTTTACATATCCAATGTTTACAAAATAGAAAGAAATCACTGTAATAAAGTTGTGAATGCACTAGATAATACCACTCTTAAATGTTTGAAGCTGTGATCTTTTCTTAATTAAAATGGCATTTCTATGACAGAAGTGTTTATTTCTTGGAAAAGCAACTTTTTACAAGTTAGATAATAATGAATTTCTGAGACAATATCAAAAGAAAAGAATAAAGGTAGTTCCTAAGGAATGCAAAAATAATGTTATTCTGATTATCTCTTAAGGCAGGTAATGCTACTATTGCTTTTGGCTCTACCTTTGATGAGGAAAGCAGCAGGAAAAGAAAGCAGTCGGTGAGGCACTGTGGGATGACTCAGCACCTGGGGCTGACTCCAAGTACCAACATTTGTCACTTGTGTGGAAGTTACTGCCTGGAAGGCACAATGTGCAGAAGCTGGCAAAAAGATGCTCCTCTGGGTGCAACAGGACCAGCTCACTGGAAAGCTAAAATGTGAAGACTTTCACTGTTGGATGGGTCTCTCTAATAAAGAAGATTGTAAAAATTCTCACACTGAGAAATGAATTTAAATACTAGGGGAAGAACTGACTTGCATCTTTTGCTGTGTAATAAAAATCATGTTCCTCACCTCCTGAAAGGGCTCAAATAAGCATTCTTTGTGTGTATGAAGTTGATTAGAAGTCTCTCTGAGATTTCCATGAGCATGCCCACTAAAGCTGTCTGCTTATACAGACAGAAAATGAGCTGCTCCAATTAGAATTTTATGAGCTCACAAGTGTTTCTCTCTAGGCAGATGAGGTAAAAACCAATACAAAAGGATTAATGTCTAAGCTTTCTGAATTAAAATTGCAACAGGTGTCAATTTTACATGCCTGCCCTTCCAACAAACGTGACATTATCCATTTGATTGATGACAGAGTAAAAAAAAATCTTTTTTTCTTTCGTCCCAAAGTTCTCTTTTGAAATCAAAACCATGTATTCTTCCATACCATTGTATCCAAGTCACCTCCTCGTACTTTCTTAATTGAATTCTGCCTAAAGAAGATATGAGGAACTCCATGTTTTGAAGGCTACTTTGATGACGAACGCATCTCTGTTCCTTTAAAGATAGTAAAAGGATGCCTCTTCCAATATTGTGTACGTTGCTAAGGTTCATTGAGTTTCAATTTGATGTATCTTCTCCATGTAAAAATACTATGTACATCACTACAGAAATTTTCTCAAATGCAGATTCCTAAGTGAGACATCCTGTCCTACCTTTGTCTTAAAGGACTAAGGACATCTACTTATGATTATACTCAGAGCAAGTATTTACTAAACAAATTTAATAAAGCAATTTTAGTTATGCTAAACAAAGTCCATATTTAGATATTTATTAGTTTAGCTACAAAGCAGAGCTAGAAGGGGAAATTGTATCTTCCATCTGGTTTTGGGACATCAAATAGGACCAAGTTAGTCCTAAGCTCTGCATATTGCAGCTTCTCAACCTTTTTCTTGTACCTCACCAACACAAAGGGTAGAACCTCTCAAAGCTGCAGGTTTATTTCCACGCTGCATTACAGTGCTGATAGGTACAAGGAGCATTTGAACAAGTTCACTGCACCTCCATGGTTTGTGATGCTTTTTGACTGACTCAAATATTTATCTTGGAATATTATTTAGTTTGAGTTATGTAGTTTGAGATTTTAGCTCAAGGTAGACAGAGTTGCAGCAGGGTTAGCAGGGACTGACAAAGCTATGGGAGATCACAGTGAAGCTGGCATTTGAGAGAAAAGCTCTGAGAGTCCAAAATAGATGTGCAGACAAAGCCAACTAACACAACCATACAGTCGCTAACTCCCCATCATCTGAAAACCAAATGCTCTCCTGACTAAAATACCCACTGCTAAGTTGACTAACATGAGAAATATATTCCGTGTAAAGCTCCCTGTGTGAAGAACTGACTGGACAACATCAAACCCAGACTTGAGCCAATGGTCTGCAATGGCCTCCATTTGGCAGAGCGTCCCTTTGCTCAGTGGTTTTGCTGGCTGTGAGACATCCTTCCAGGCAGACATAGGGCCTGTCTGAGCTGTTGCACGGGAGCATTTGTGAAAGCAGGGAAGCGGCACTGGGGGAGCCTGCCCGCCCTGGGAGCCCGTCCAGAATCTCGGGGGCTGCTTCACGCCCGCGGCGCTGTCCGTGGAGGGAGAATCGAGCTCCCTCCGTCCGCTGCCGGCGCTGGAGCCGCCGCTGGGCGCTGCCGGCAGCCTCTCCTCACCCGAGCCGGGAGCCGCGGCCCCGGGGCTGCGGGGCGCTCCCGCCGGCTCGCTGTGTCCCCGGGCTGAGCGGGACGGGCACGGAGGGAGCCGCGGGTCCCGCCGGCAGCCCCTGCCTGCCCCGGGGAAGAACGCGGCTCTGCCCCGCGGCCGCCCCCAGCCCTGCCCTGCCCAGCCCCGCGGGGAGGACGCGAAGCCGCGGCGCTCTATAAAAGCCCCCCAAAGGGGCCGGGAGGGACGGGACCGCGGCAGCGGCACGGGGAGCGGGCGGCGCCACCATGGCCCAGTCCGTGTGGGGCTACGACAGCGACAACGGTGAGCGCGCTCGGGGCCACCGCGGGGCCGCATGAGCCCGGCTGAGCAGGGGCGACGTCTCTTTGTCTTTGTCCCTCAGGACCCGAGCGCTGGCACGAAAACTACCCCCTGGCCAAGGGCGACAAGCAGTCGCCCATTGAGATCAACAGCAAGGACGTGCAGCACGACTCCTCTCTCGCCTCCTGGCACGCCAGCTATGACCCCGGGGCAGCGAAAACCATCCTGAACAACGGGCGCACCTGCCGCGTCGTCTTCGACGACACTTTTGATCGATCAGGTCGGTTTGTATTTTTTGGGGGTTGTTAGGAATCAAGGTTTGCAAAGCGCCGGGTATCAAAAAGCATCCTTTAGTATCCAGCCTGTGCAGGCCAGCAGAGAAAAGTCACTTGGGAACGTAAAAAAGGTGCTCCAGGATTTTATTCTGGTGGATCTGAAGTGGGACAGAAAGGCTGTTAGCTGCAGAAGAACCCCTGAAATACATACTCTGCTGGATGGTGGACTTCTCCCTATGTCTCCTCCTTCAACACAGACACCACACCTTCAGGGTTTGTGTAAGGGACAAGAGTGGTGCCCAGAGGGGTTTAGAAAGCTCTGAGGCACTTTGTAAACCAAAAACTTATATATGCATTTCTGCTGACTATGATCTTGATTTCTTCTGCATGGTAATTCTTCAGATACTTCAGAGCCTACAAAAGTTATGAAAATAGCATTTATGTAAATAGCATTTTATAGTTTCTGGAAAACTACGAAACGGCTTTGTTATTTAATTAGAGCAAACAATCTCATAGATCTAAATTAAATTGTTCAAAACTTGATTGTAGAGCTCTATCTGTATAGCTCTGGATGCAGACAGGCAACAACTGTCAAAATGAATAATAAATTCACAATATCATATAATGCAAAGGCATCTCAAAAGCATACAGTATTGATTGGTCCTTCACCAAGAAGGAAAGTAATCTAATGGAAAACAGTTACTTTCCATTGTATTTTTGTGCATCTGCTTTGATGGCACTTGTATTGAGATTTTGTTCATAGTCAGCTATATCACTAATGAAATATAGTACATTGAAAGATCACTTTCCTGCTTATCTTGATGAGCCCCTTGTTTCCTGGATTTCTTTATTTATCATTACAGCTACTTGTTATTGTTCCATGTCTCTCAGACATAATCTCAACCATTTAGAATGAGGACTGTCCCTAAATTATGTATTTTTATGGTCCTTTAGTATTCACTAGCACAGTTTCTACACAGTGGTCTCAAATTGCACTTTTATTACCATAGAAACACAGAATGGTTGGGATTGGAAGTGACCTTAATGATCACCTAGTTCTAACCATACCCTCATCACCACCTTCCACTAGACCAGGATCCTAAAGATGCATCCAGCTTGACCTTGAACATTTCCAGGGATAGAGCATCCACAGCTTCTTCATGCAACCTGTTCCAGCACCTCATCAACTTCACAGTAAAAATTTTTTCCTAATATCCAATGTAACCATACTCCCTTTCAGTTTGAATGCATTCTTCTTTGCCCTATCACTACCTGCCCTTGTGACAAGTTCTGTTTAAAAGCCAGAATGCCCTTCCAAAAGTTCTGCATAAAATAGATGCCATGACTGAAAGCACGGGAAGGAAATTGGTAATGAACATTTTCACATGGTGGTTCTGTTCTATCTTCTTTACAGCTTCCTAGAGGCTGAAATGTTTTAGGCTGCTCAGGAAGTTGTCTGCCTCCAGTTTGGCCAAACCAAATGCAGCCCTTGGTGCGGCGCTTCCTCTAAATCACCTTCCTTACATTTCTTCCCTGTCTCTCCCCTCCCAGTCACCTCTGCTTTTTCAGTGTGTGCAGTCACTCCTGGATGCCCTTACTTTCTGCAGGTTGCTGGGCAGTAATTTAGGACTCAGTTGTTTCTTAGGCACATGTATGATCAGAATAAAATACAATACTTGACAGTTCTGAAAGACCATGAGGAAGAATTTTGAAAGACCACTTTACTACCTTCATTTGTTGGCTTCTGCAGTGCTAAGAGATGAGGATAAGTAATAGTCACAGATTCCATTTTAATTGGAAAAAGAAATATAGTTGAAGATAATTTTTTTTCCAAACACATTTGGTTGTTAAAAAGATGATTTGGTTTTATGCTAGAGAGATTTGTATGCTGTTATGAAGTGCTGTTTTCAAGTGCATCACAGTGTTTTAGCTCTGGAAAGGGCTACCTGTAAGAAATGAGTGGTATATGAGTTCCCAAACCTGATACTGATTTAGCTTTTAAATGTAGGTAGATCACAATAAATTCAACTCCTGCCTCCCATTGATTCCACTGTAAAATGGTGACCAAATCCTTTTGAGGAGTTGGGCCTTAGATTCTATGCCTTTTTTGTCCCATATTTAAAGGTGAAATAATATTAGCAATGTAAATATTTTTCCATTGAAGCCTTCTACAGAAGTTTTACTCAATATTACTCAATGCTATACTGAGTTATGATTATTTATGTGTGAACACAGTAGAGAAGTAAGAGGAGCTACATGCTTAAGTCTCAAAAGTGCTTTTCTTCTGGCCCTCCTCTTGATGGTTGTGACACCTACCAACTAAAAAGAGAAACTGCAAAGTTAAACCTTTTGCTCTGTGTAGGTATTCCTACTTGTAGGATATCAAGAATTCATTTGAGACCATTGGGCAAAAGAGGATTTCAATGTTAACTTTGAACTTCAAAGCTATTGGTAGAAGTTCAAACTTGAATGCTATTTAAACAAGGCCTTCTGGCACAGCAGTTGTGAATTACATTATCAGCTTTCTGTGTAAGGAAACACGACTCATTCCAACCTTAGGTAATGAATGAAAAATACATTTGAGAGCTTATCCTCTAAGCAGTCCCTGCTCAAAAGAATCTCCAGGCTGAAAGAGCAGGTGTGATGTTTTGAAAGTCAGAGTTGATGTCAACTGTCAGACTGATGCATGGTCAGCATTATTTAGCTAAGCACAGCAGAAGTAACAGCTTCTTAGTTTCCCTTGTTGGTGGCTCAAGAACAATTTTCTAACTCACTTGACCTAAACTTTATTGTCTTCCCTCACTTCCAAGAATATAGATAATTTTAAAATTTTTAATATGTTTTTGAGAAACAGCGAACTATCTGTAACCATTGTTTAGCTGTCTTGATGCCTTGTGAAGGCTGACCTAGAACAGAGACTACACGGAGCTAAAGAATAAAGTAGGTGTTTATTAGTAGGCTTTCATGGATATACCTTGGGCAGCACAAGGTGACCTGTAAAAGGTATGCCAATCACGGACTGGAAGTACTTTCTGAAGCACCTTTTGGTTAATTTAGTGGCCCCAACACCAATCTTTTTTACAAAGACCCTTTCTTGAAAAGAATCACCCCATTTCTCGCTCCATACCAGGAACTGTAGTGTGTCCACTTGCCAGGAGAAAAGGGAAGGTTGGGCAGCTGGGGTTTGACTCTGTGCTTGCCTCACAGCCCGCTCCAGTTTTCCCATCAAACAGAGCTCCCGGTAGCACAATTTAGCCGCAGCCAGGCACCCTGGCGGGCGGGGCGGGCCGGCTGCAGGCGGGGACCCGGGGGCGCTGGCGGTGCCTGACGCCGTGTCCCCACTGCAGTGCTGAGGGGGGGCCCGCTGAGCGGCGCCTACCGCCTGCGCCAGCTGCACCTGCACTGGGGCTCCTGCGACCAGCACGGCTCCGAGCACGTCATCGACGGCGTCAAGTACGCGGCAGAGGTAGGACGGGCTCTCGACAGCGGCCTTCCGTGATGGAATTCGACTCGTTTTGCATCTGAGCACATTAACCATGCTCCCTCTTGGAAGTATTGAGCTACTAATTTTTCTGCGCCCGTGAAACTCGTGGATGCTGCTTAACATGCAGTGGGATAAAGTCGCATCTGCCAACAAATGTATCCCTGCAAGTATCTACTAACACGGATTTCTTCACGCCAGAGTTTTTTTGCTGGTATCTTACAATGTTTCAAAAATATTTGCGACAAAGCAATCTGTTATTTCCAAATCTGTTATTTCCAAATAGGAAGAGCTGCTGAAGTTTTGGGTTTTTTTTGGCTTGAGTTACCAAGTTAGTTTCAAAAAGAATAGAAAAACTCACTAAAAGCACATTTTATAAGCTGACATTCAAAATCAGATCCATCTTAAAACTGATTCAGAGCATGTTTTAGTTTCTGAACATCTCTGCTTTAAAATAGCTGGGTTTATTTTCAGGAACCACATAAAATATAATGTTTGGGGTTTGTTTATTTGGTTTTTAATTTTTTTAATGTAAACCACTCTAGGGCTGTTGTCCTAGTTTGTTAAAATTCATGAATACTTTAGACCCCCGAAGACTTTTTCAGCTCTTAAATGTAAGTGAATTAGCTATTGAGGGTAGAGAATTGCTAGCAAAGGCTGCCTCCTTCCTCTACCTTATTTGAGAAAAGGCTCAAAATACATACCTATGCCCACAAAAATCCTGCAGGACGGTTTTCCTGCCTTCCAGCTACACTCTCAAGGCCCAGAGCCTGGAGAAGCATTGCTCACCTCTCACAGGACAAAACTGAGGCAGATATTTTCAGGGTCAATGTGCACAGAGAGGACTGTGGGTGATGGCTTAGGATTTTTTTCCCATTTCTTAACCACAGCTAATCTTTGCTGGTATTCTGCTTTCTGTGGTCAGCTAAAGAGAAAAAATCTGCTTCCTCAAACTATTTCTTGGCTACTTCAAGCACAGACTTTTTATGTTACTTTTGTTAGCAGTACTCATTGATGGGAGAAGAAAGCCTGGAATATATGTACTTTAGCTACATTTCAACCAAAGATATATGGTTGCTCCAGATTTATCCTTAGCTTTAAAATCCTTATCCTCAAGAGAAAAGAAACAGAGAGCAATAGATTAATTCATATTCAAGACAATTTTTTTGTTGTTATTTTAAATAAACTTTTTAAAAAATACTTTCTTTTCCCCCTGTATGACTGTGTTCCAGCACTCCTTAATCTGAGATTGCACACTGCTGGTTGCAGCATTTGCAGCTTTATGCATGAGCTAGAGATTTTCTGGACAGGGATTTTTTTGAAATATTTTTTGAAAATATTTTTCAAATTTTTTGAAAAATTTGAAATATATCCTGAAAATACAGCATTGTTGAAGGTAGATATGAGAAAAAAAATGTCACATTATATCCCACAGTAGATATGAGAAAGAAATGTCACATTATACCCCCACTCCCTTCCAGTACAATGTGCTGAGAGCAGTAAGAGGTACAAACCAGTAACGTATGCATTGCATACAACCCAGTGTAAATCCCTGAGCTGACATCTGCATAACCTGAAGATCTAAAAATGTACTTGAGGTGAAGTGCATGTCAGTAGGTGTTTTATGCACTGCATGTGTGTGTCATGTGCTTGGATTAAACTATTTATAGTTGCATTGTCTGATATTATGTGGTAAACTCAATTTTCTTTGTTCTATGCTTCAATTAGATGCAAAGCAATGCTTTATGGAAAGCATAAGCATATAAAAGCATGGGAACAGCAGTAAGAAATACTTACATAGAGTTTTCTTTTTCATGTCCATTCCTTTACTTACTGTGAACCAGAATATTTTCTTAATTTAATTTAAAGTGCAGATTGTGCAGTTGACAATTTCTTGTATTTAAAACTGAGTTTTAGTTGATTTTTATTGAACTGACTTTTAATTATTTTAGTTACATATGGTGCACTGGAACCCAAAACACGGTAATTTTGCTGGAGCTTTAAAACAACCTGATGGTGTAGCTGTTGTTGGAATTTTTCTGAAAGTAAGTATTAAATATTCAGTCTTTGTAATTTTTTTGTATTTTTCCTCTTTCTCTAGTGCCAGGAGAAAAGTTACCATTGTTTTTTCCTGCCCTGCAGCCTCTTCCTGTGGTGTGCACTGGTGAGGAGGAGGGTCTGCATAGGCTGGTTTTTTTTCCTCTCATCTTTTGTGTCTTTTGGCTGCTAGCAGGTGTTGTATCTGCCTGTCAGCAAGGTTATGTTGACTGATTCCCTTCTCTGGTCTTTCATTGATTCCCACATGAGCTAGGAATCAAAATGAGTTCAATGAACCTACTCCAAAAAGAAAGAATTGATGATGAAATAAGACCACTCAACACTCTAACCTTGAAATACAGAAAATTTTAAACAAAACAATACTCTACCACTATTTTCAGATTGATTTTCTATAAACTCAACAGAAAGAAAGTAATCCTCGTATCAGATCTACATGTGGTTTAGGACATTGAGAAATGCTAACGAGCACAAAGCCTAATAGTGACAAAGTACAGAAACTTTAGTCCTTTCAGCAGCAGGTGGGCATTTCAGCTTGAACACACCATCAGGGAATAGGTGTCCTTTTATTTTTTTATCACTAGGAAGTGGCATTTGTAAAAGCAAGAGCAAGTGGATGTAATTAATTTTGCTACAGTGTCCCTGAACAGACTAGATGCAGTGTAATTTTAATTTTATTACACTGTGAGCCAACCTGACCTTTTCTCTTGTGGTTAGCCGAAATTGAAGGTCAGTACCTGTCCAGATTCTCCCCTATGACTATGTCCTTCAATTCTTTTGTAATTCCTTTTGGTCTATTTTAGGCTAAAGTTTTATGTTGTCAAACACAACTTAAAAAGCACATCACTATATTCCTATTAACCATGCTAAGGTCAGCTAAAAGATCTAGAAAAGTAAGTAGTATCATTGTCTTCTCTGGCCCTCTTTCCCTGTTTCCTTCTTGCTCTTTGATGAAGGAGCTGTTGTTTTTCTCTGAATTTGTCATGTTCCATTACTGGGTTTTGGGATACTACTAAAACAGGATTGAATTATCTCCTGAGAAATTGAAGTTAATCTATTTTGGAACAAGACATGGCAATAACTGTACATCTTACTCATACTGCCTTCACTCTTCTGGGATGTCAAAGCTTTTGGAAGTGCTAAATGTCATGAACACAAGCAATAAAGTTACCCGTTTACCTTATAGCTTGAGGTCATCTAGACATGAATTCATCACATGTCTTACATCAAGTCTGATCTCAGTGTGTGTGTGCTGCAGAAGGAAGTGTCTGCAGGAACTACAGCCCTTCAGGCCATCAAGACTTTGCCAAGTGCTCAGACGTCCCACGGTGGCTGTGGGTTGCTTTTGAAGCAGGAGCCAAGGGCTAAGCCCTGGGTAGTGACACTGAGTGTGCAGTCCATTCCTCAGACAGGCAGGATGCCTTGTAGGGTCCTTCAACACAGGTCCAAATTGCAAAGCCAGCTACTGGAGTCTGCTATTTTGGATGTTCTCTGAACACACAAAATTTTCTGTCAGTCCCTACTTGATTCTCTGAGACTGCTGTTGCCTAATGTGGCAGATGGGATGTGCTGAATTTATTTCAAATACTGTGGAACGTGATGAAAAACATACAGTATGAAAAACATAGAGTATTTGTGCTTTGCATTACAGGTTGGGCAAACTCCCAAACCAGAGATGAAGAGAATTCTTGAAGAAATTGAAAACATTAAGACTAAGGTATCAAAACAATTTTTTGTGATATAATGTAGCTGGAAAGCCACAGAAGCAGGAATCAGTAGTTCAGATTCATATTTTGGCATAGTTTGGACACCAAACCATAGCACCAGAGATGATACATTTTACTGTGGGGCATGATACTTTCTTTTGCTTAATTAAATATTTAACTCCTCACTTTTGCAAGTATTCTTGTTGAAAATGATTTTTTAATCAATCCTTGCAGACATAATTGATAGTCTTATTGGTACTGCTCTGTAAAAATATGCCAGTGGGCCAATACCAAGAAGAACTTAAAAGCTTTTTGAATTTGAAGACAACAGTGGCCAAAAAAAATGCACATAGCAGAGTCAGAAATTTAGTTAGCCTAAAATGAGAATAAACTAGTAGAAATTACGGAACAGGCTCCCAGTCAGTGAAAGGGAGATTAAAAATGTTACTAGTTTTAAGAAGGCACTGTATTTATAAAAGGAACTACATGGTGCAGTTCCTGCCCAGTTCTGAGTTCTCTCTTCCTATGATACTAGCACAAATAGCATTGCAAATATATTCCAAACTGTTTTTCAGTTAAAATAATGATCTGAGGCACCAATCCATACCTATCACATGGATGCAGTGGCTGAAGCAAGTTATTTGCAGAGAACTGCAATATTGCATCTATTGTCACTTAGCATTGTCATTTACAATGAACTTAATCTCTAGGTATACTTTAGCAATTCTACTTCATGATAAACTTTGTGATTCTAGTAATGCTAAAAGTTGTTGTTTCTGTTTTTTTTTTTTTACTTCACCTTGAACATGCTACCAGATCACCAAATTTGTTGGCATTTTCTTAAAAATTTGCCAGAATTCCTTGCATTTAATGCATGTATGTGTGTGCTGCCATTGATGTGCAGATCTGAGCCTGACTGCTCTTCTCTCTTTTGTAAGAGTCATATTAATTTTATTTTTTCAACTCAGTTTTCAAATGCAATTAAGTTGTTTCTGCTGTGGCAACTGAAGGTTATTTTTTTTCACCCTATCCATGCCCCTACCTCAGCTTTCTCTCATAATGACTATATCATTTTTTTGGCCATTTACATGTAGCAGTTCTGGAAAAAGCAACAGTTGAAGTAAAGCAGAGAAATATAAGTGCATATGCAAAGGATCACATGTTGTATTTTATCTCTTATTTATTTTCTGCCATCACAGACATTTTCCCAAGGTTACTTATTTTTCAGAAAAATTAATGGGTGGTATTGCTGGTGTATTTATCACACATGCAGTTTCAATTGCTCTGATGCATTACAGGCAGAGGAGTTGGTCACTGTACTGTATTTACTGAAAAAGCACAATTTTGTGAATTTATTTGCAAATTCATATTGAACTTACAGCATAATCTTTTCAGGAGGATACAATTGGAGTCACTCTTTCTACTCTTAATTTGTGCAATGATGCATGGAAACAATTTCAGCTTCTGCCACTCACTTTGTTCTAATCTAGAGAAGATTCTCCATGATAGAAGAGGGAAATAGGAATGTCTTCCTTCCCAGAACTGTATCCAAAATATCAATAGAGAAGTGAACTGCATTTCCTTGGTTAGTTTTTGTTGCCCAGAGGGAACAAGGAATACTCATCACAGTCCTGTGGAGTTACAATCCTATTTGGTGACAGACTTAGCAGGAAGTGTTGTCTCATGTCTGCTTTCTCCCTTGTCTGGTAGTAATCACCTTGAATTGTAAGATATTTAGGACCCAGTACTCTTACAAGAAATATTTTAATTTTTTACTAAGTGTAATAGCACCAACAAAAAGACTGAGAGTGTCACCATGAATATATAATTACAGCAAAATCTTGGAAGGAGAGAGGTGCAGATTTAAATTCCTCCAGACAGAAGAGGAGACTGTAATGAATCTGGGATAAATGCCTGGCCATTATCCTGTTGGATAAAAAGGGTAACAGTTCCAGCAATGCCACAGGCTTTAACTTTTATCCCAATGGCTCAAAATAAAACACAATTTTGATAATTCCAGAATAGAATAATGTAAAAATTAGTTTGCTTTAATCCCACACAATTCAGTTTGTAACTTTTAATTTATGAAAGTAATCAAAATGTCAGTTATTGATTTCTGGGATAGTGCTTGACAAGAAGAAAAGGAGATTGATTTCTTGCATGAATCTTGGTATTTAATTGCTTCCTTTATAATAACGTAGATACTGATGACTTTTAAGATGCAGATCTCTAGAGTTACTGCAGAGAATTTTTTTGTTTCTCTAAGGGGAAGGAGGCTCCTTTTCTGCACTTTGATCCTTCAATTCTTTTCCCCAAATCTCGTGACTACTGGACCTACCATGGTTCATTCACCACACCCCCTTGTGAGGAGTGCATCACTTGGATTCTTCTGCGGGAGCCAATTGAAGTCAGCTCAGACCAGGTAAACTCCAGCCAGTTCTGCTGCTCCTTTTCCAGTTCTCAGCAGTGTCTCAGTATGCCAGGGTGATGATTTGCAAGCCCTGTGTTAACTTGCACTTTTTGATAGGGGAAGCTTTAGCTATGGACAGTGAGAAACTGCCTGCAGAATGGACTGTTGAAATGGGCTGTGAAAGTGACCCTGAGAACCAGGTGCTCTTGCAGGACACTTCCTGGAACAGCCTCAGCAGTGGTGTTCTTGGGATCCAGAAAACCTGCTAAGGCAGAAGTGCCCGTGAGCAACAAAATTCAGCCATCATGGAAGCCTCAGTTCATTCTACATGCTTTACAATTAAGTGGAAAGTGAGACTAATATTTTGCTGGTTTCCTGGTTTAAGAAATTGCTGGTCCAGACCTTGACTTCTTAAAAGCTATCAGTGAGCAAGATCAAACAATCTGCAACCTACAAACCTGAACACTCATACAAATTAATGTACCACTTGCATTTACAGAAGAAAAAAAAAAGGCCTGTCTGGATAAGGTGACGTTTTTAGTTCTTGTGTCAAAAATTTTGGCTATTTATACCACTTTCTGCTTCAGCAACACAAGTCAGGGTATATCCTTTCTACTGAAATGGCTGTTTTCAAAATAGATTTATTTTGAATTTGGATGAAATGGTAACAATTAACGACAATTATCAACACTGAAATTAGGTTAATTTGAATAACAGCAGCTGAGTGCTGAATTCATGATTCAACTTAATAATCCAGTTGGCATATCTCTGCCTTACAGATCAAAATACAAACTTCTGCACCAGCTTTTTCTATCACTGCCTTGCACTGACATAGGTCTGGATCCTCCTTCACAGATAGCTGTATTTTCACAAGGTATTTGCCTGCTGTCCAGCTCCAGCTGGGAGCTGGCCCTATTCTTTTTCCACACTGTGGGTGTGAATCACAGAAAAATCCTAAAGAAGCCCAGGTAAGGGTCAGATGATGAACTGTTCTGTGGATGGAGTGTGAAGATCCACAGAAAAAGTGCAAGCTCCTGGGCTGCAGCAATCTTTATCAGTAATCTCAGCATTGTTAGCGACTATCGTTGTCATTATGTGCTTGTGACTATGCTAGAAAATTCCTTTTTCATCTCAGAGTTTTGTCCTAGGCAGTAAGGTCCACAGTGCTTCCACATGGACGTTGAATTTTTCTTCCTTGCAGATGGCAAAGCTCCGTAGCCTTTCCAAGAACCCTGAGAATGAACCCATGAGCCCTCTTGTTGACAACTGGCGCCCACCGCAGCCCCTGAAGGGCCGGATAGTGAGAGCCTCGTTCAAGTGAAATCTCAAGTCTCACTCTGCTGAACCTGAGTGAGAAAATCCCTACATCACCAAAGTGTAGTTTTTTGCTGTCTACTGCTTTTCCTCTGGATCCAAGTCTGTGTTTCTCAGTTTGAAATTTTGAGTAGTAAAAGTAAATCTGTTTTAAAAAGCAGAAGAATACTGTATGCAAATACTAAACATAATAAGCAAATGTGAGAAGTAATGATTCTTGACCAAAAATGCCTCAGCATTTATGGTCACTTCTCTGCCTTATAGTCTTGTAAGAAAAATAGACTCAGTTTCAATATTTAAAATTAACCTCAAAGGCAATATAGTAAGGCAAAAAAATGAACCAGTAGTTCAGGAAAGCAGAAGTAATGGTAGATGAACAGGAGGGAAATGCCTGTCTCTACACTGTGATCTTGTTCAGACACCCCACCCTCAGAGGAGACATCCAAAGAGTAAGTACCCTTTTAACATACCAGGTTTTCCCTTCCCTGTCTTGTTCATAGTTTTTTATCCAAGGTTAGATTAGTGGTCTGAGGGTAAAATCAGGCATACTCAGTTTCTGTGTGAAGAAGAAAAGAGACCTTGCTGTCATTTCAGCATTTGCTGTCTTCAGCATATCCTGCTCCTGGCATTGTTGATCTTTTCTTCTTTCACCGCTGCTGTTACTTCACCCACCCAGTGCAGACTCCTGCTGGTATCATATTGCCTTGTATTTAGTATACCAGCTTTCATACTGCTGAGGGAGAAGTGCCTTTCTTCTGCTGCTCTATGTTATCTCCCATAATGATGGATTTTTGATGCTCTGCCTGCTTTCTATATTTGACACCTTAATAGTTTCGCCTGTTAGGGATTTTGTTGCATATGGAAAGGAACTTTCTGGATGATTCATATGTGTCATTTGGGAAAAATCCAGATTAAGTCACCTAAGTGTTTGTTTATTTGACTCTGTAGCTGGAGAATATAAATGGATTTTGTTTGGCTCAGTTCCTTTGTGGGGAGACACATCAGATTTCAAATATGATCCAAGCAAGGAATCACTGGCAGACAGAAACATCTACATCAACTTCTCCTGTCCTTCATCGTGTATACTTCATCATTTCAGTGTACAAGTACCATCTGGGTTGAACCCACACAGAGATCATGTGAATAAAGGTCTACATTATATTCAACACCCAGGTGATTATTCAGTATTGGACATAGAGGAGATTGGATGGTCAAAGGTGGTGTATAAATCCCACTGCACAGGCAGCTTCTGGGTCCTCTGTGTTCCTGTAACTCAGAGGAATGGTACTGTAGGTAGCAGTGGGTGTTCTTCTGGAGATGTTGTCACAAACATGTTCACAGCAGCATTTATAAGGGATATGTCAAAGTCTGAAAAAAAAACAGACTACAAATGGCTGGAATAGGCATTTCCCAGTTCTCCTTAATTATTTCACTTTCATTTTATTAGAAAAAGGGTAGTCCAACAGGGAAGTAATGAACGGGCAACACTGGACAAATTCTGCTGTTATTACCAGTACAATTCAGTGAGAACCCAGAAATTAAACTGAGGGCAGATTTTGATCCTTTTTATTCATTTAGAATTGTTCTAAGGAATACTAAATTTCCATTGAAAGTTAGTATTCTAGTTTATTAGGATTGTATTTTGCTTAGTATAAAATATAAAGTTTCTTTTTAAAAATGTAGTTCATGTGAGTAGAAGCTAAAGTATTGATTGAATCCTGTTTACAAATGTTTTGGCACTGGCTTAATTTTATCAGAAGATCAGCTTTTGATATTATGAGTGCAGCACTTGCAAGGGTATTGATTTCAGGAGTCCCTTAGATCTTCTTTAAACTCTTGAATCTTTGAATCTTCTCAACACATAAAAATGTTACTACAGAAAGCTTATAAGCAACAGTTGTTTTCTACCGTACTATGTCTTATGTACAAAATGTCTTCTCACATCCATATGCAGTTGACCTTGATGATGAGAAAATTTTAACACAACTGAGACAAGGGTTTGAGCCTTTCGACCTAAAAGCCATTGACTGTGATGTTTTAATCTCTTGTTATTGAGGCAATAAAAAAAGATTAGTTGTCTGCACTTGCAATAACTGCTTTTATGTCTTGAGAGAATCAATAAATTGACTTACATTAAAAAAAATTGTTTGCTGTTTTTGTGCTAAGTGATGAACTGAAAGTAGCAAAAACTTAGTAGAAAACCTTGCTGCTCCTTTCTTTGATACATGTGCTTGTAATCCAAGGGGAACAGACATTTTAGTACTTTTTAGCTGTTGGAGTTTAGGCAAGAAGCACATCAATCAGTTAGCTGAAATGTTACATAATTCTGAAAATTCCTGATTAGTTTATACTTTTGAAGCACACAAACTGTTGAAGAATAATTGCCTGCAAAGCAGACAATGAGTGCACTTTGCTTGGTTTGCATGTTTCCTCTACTCCTTTTGAAAGGTAGAATAGGCAGAAGTTTATGAACTACTGAAATAGTGGTTTTGGTTCCAACAAGAAACATTTGGTTTGTATGTTGGTAAAAAGGAAAATACAGTCTGAAATTTATATTGTTTCCTCATGCATCTCCTCTGGTGCCATTATCTCTTCAAACTGTTATTACACAAAAGCATCAGCCTCACTGAAAATATGCTTTAAAGTTTTTTCCCTTGAAGAATAAAGTGCACACAGTTTTGTTCCATTGCCTTCTTCCTTTGACGAATAGAGTAGCTCAGTATTGATTACTTTGGTGACAAAATCAGAATATGTGGATTCTAATCCTGCTGCCCCATGTATCTTAGAGAAAACAAACAAACAAACCCCATAAAAATCCTTATGAATTTCGTGCCCATAATGTATATAATAATTACAGCAGGGCAGCCAAGTGATTCACGTTGATTACCACCAATGAGGTTTTGACAAAACTTGCCCAGTTTCCCACACTTCACAAGAGAAATTACTAGAAAAACTAAAAGCTTATTCCTGTAGTTTCAAAGCTTTTCTTTACTAACTGATACAGGTATCACCATCTTTCAGTCATGTGTAAATTTGTAACTGAACTGAGAATTCCTGGTATGGCACTTGTGTACAACCAGCTATGATGCTGCATTTTTTATAATAATTTTCATATTCCTATTCATAATATATTTTAATTTTTGTAGTAGATTACAAAATGAAATGAAGATGTATCTTTTTTTTCTGTATCTCAAAGAAAGATGCTCCTGGATGTCCTTGCTGATGTTTTTCTGCTGAGTAATCAGTGGTGAAGAACATTCATATTGTCAGGGAGTTGGACAAAATAGAACAGTGTCTATTTCCTCCTGAGGCATTTTGTCCCAAGCCTCAGCAAAGGCAGCAGTTGTATGATGTGTGTTCTACCTTGTCTATCTGCCTTCCATCTCAATGAATTCTGGCATTTATCTTAGTCAATACTGGAGAACAAAACATGTGTTTGGGAATTATTTTATTTCCAAGCCCAAGAATTTAATAAAACATTTTATAAGATTCCTCACTCCTAAGAATTTCATAGAACTTTTTGTAAAATTCCTCACTCCCCCAAAAGGTTAATGTACAACAAATGATGAATTAGAGAGCAAATCAGACTCAAGATTTTTTTTGAAAAACATATTTTTTAAAGCATCTTCTTTTCAGTTTACGTCTGCTGTACATGTTGATTTGCAAAAAAGTGCAATAAAATTAACATATTCAGGATTATTTGTGAGGGAGAGACAGAAAAACTGTAGAGTTTTGTGTTCATTAAAACACATCAACAGATTTGAATACGGGTGGAGAACTTGTGATATTACTGGGAAAATAAACACCAACACAGTATTGCTATTATCGAAAATTTCAACTATGTTTGGACTGAATAGCACAATACTTGCAAGAATGTCCATGAACTTAAATGAGCAAAACACTTGTGGAATCCTAGGCCTGAGCTGGACCTTAAAGACCATCTAGTTCCAGCCCCCATGCTGGAACATCTTCCATGGGCGGGTACACTTTCCACTAGACCATTATTTGGAAAAAAATACATAGTAGATGGAAAATTTTCTGTAAAACAGGAGGAGGGAGAAGAAAGAAATGCAATTTGTGCTGCAAACTGATGAAGTGAAGATGCAAGTCCACAGTCTAAATTAATAGCTCACTTTCAATAAGGACAACCATGAAGAACATGAGTACAAATAAAGAAGGGTTAATAGGAATATATTAATATATGTGAGAATTAAAATTACCATTAAGTGAGATGGTAAATCAAGTAGGACAGCAGAGCAAACTTCATACAGATGGAGTTGTCTCTGCTTCAGAAAACAAAAAGATTGGCATAATAAATTGCAACCCTTCTGTTGAGAACTCTATTCACAAGATCTCCCTGGAGACATCATCCTGCCTCTCTACAGGAAAATCCAACAGGAAGGTTGGAAGCAATGATGCCATCAGGTATGCAAAAGAAAGGTTTCAGTCACTAATTAACCACACTTCTAGTTAGCACAAGCAGGAGCACTGACAGAACATTATCTGCATGGGAATTCTCAAAGTAAATCTCACTGATTCTGCCACTGATTCTTTAAGTCAGAGGCTGACATTAACTCATGCTTTTGCAGTCCTGTCATGCCATCAGTAAGCAGAATATGCAGTAGGTGTTAGGAAAAAAATATGCCTTTGGTGAGTTTGAGTAGCACACTGTCACTCTGATTGTTACTAATATCTTACAGAAGATCTGTCAGAAAACTGTTGAAGAACTTGAAACTCCTTCCTGCAGTTAGACCAGTTTCCATGCTGCACTAGTCCAGGAAGCCCATGGACCAGTTGTCTCAGAGCTTTATGGTGGAGATAATACAACTTTACTAGACTAAGATTTTTAATTCTTCCAATTCCCAGTAATTTTTTTTCTATTTTTTTTTAACTGACATTCCCATGTGTAATCCTACCTTCACCTCATAGACAACACAAACATTCCTGCTGAAAACTCGAGTGAAGGATGCTGCTTCTTGCTTTGCTTGAGATGGTCATTTTCCAGAG